TTTCAGTTCAACCCTATTAGGTATTGCATTTGTTGCAAAAATTAGGCGAGTGATGTAAGGGACCTAATTTGCCCAAGGCAACACAACTACTAAATGTCAAAATCAGACTTAGACTGTGTTTTCTGTTGGCGAAACTTATGTTCTTAACCAGATGGTCTGCTGCCTCTCTCCAGCATACCTTTGAATGAGCTGCTGTGTCTTAAGAGTTATACCATTTAGGTCACATTGAAGGAGGAGAGGCCTCTTTTCAAATAATGTATTTGGAGGGGCTGGAAATAATTTGGCTTTTGAGAACTCACTCAAGATGATGATAATAGCAAACAGATACCAAAAGTTCACTATATATTCGTCACTGCACGCACAGCGCATAGAGTAACTAACATAAACTTTATAAGAACTCTGTGAAATAATATTACCCCTAAGATTATCTCTGGCTGATGGATGAGAAAACTGAGGATGCACAAGGTTAAAAAACGGGGTCCAAAGCAATGGAGCTAGTGAGCAGAGAGCCGGAATTTGGATTGAGGGGCTATTTCCAAGTTCTACACTCTCGTGCTCCCACCAGCTAGATGTTCAGAGGGTAACAGTGAGGATTCAGTATAGGTGTAGAGGTTGCACGGTTGAATATGACTCAAATCTATGAACTCTACCAGGTGGGATGACGACCCCTTTCGAACTCCACTCCTTTCCCTTCAGTTATTTCCCTTTGGCAAAGCTGATGCCTGAGTAAAGAATACAATCATTTCCAGATGGCATTAGGTAATAATATGTGGTTTCTGAACAAACAAGTCAGTGGCTCTTCTTGAGACTTACATAGCAAGTCACGCCTAAACAAACAAACTAACTAAAAGTGCTAAGAGCAAATGCACGCAGCTTCCGTGTCCAAACATAGCCTTGCTGCATTGGGGGCCTGGAAATGAGGATGGGTGATAAGAAGGTAAGAGGAGGAATAGACTGAAGTATAGGTGTGATGGAAGGTGCAAACATGTTGTTGTCCATAGACAGTGTGGGGTAAAGGGACATAGGAATTGAATTAGATCAGTGTTTATCAAGCATTGCTTAACCTTCTTGTGCTACTGTTATTGTTGACTTAATATCATAAAGCAACTAACAAGTTTTTTAACCTAAGCATAATTATAAGTAACATATATGCAATTGCACATTTGTAAATGATTATGTTTTTCTAATACACATACACATATATGTAACCATAATATATTTTTTATAAGGTTTATCGCTATTACCTAAAACCATTGCATGTAACCATCGGTGGTTTAAGTACCACACTTGGGCCACCCAACTAGAATTAGGACATGCTGATCTCTTGCCTTGTCAGTGAAAAAAACATAACTTTGCAAGAAAATATATATAAAAAGCAACAACAACAAGAAAATGCATATGAGAAAGGAGTAGAATTGCTCAGGGCTGAGAGAGCGCCTAAGAGGAAAGATGGTAAAACAAAGTGTTATGCACGCTGTAGAGGGTCACATCAAAATGGGGTGAAAGGGGCTGTTTAAAGGTCTGAAGAAGCCATAAAAAACAAAGAGTATCTGTGCTCCCCATAGCCAGAGCGCTCTAGAGACCTGGGTTGTACAGCAAACTACCAAGTATCAAGGAATAACCAGAGACTCTTAGTAGCCCTATTCAGACCAGAATCCATTGCAGAATGAAGGTATTTTTCTTTTCCTGGGAGATGTGTGTCTTTTCTTAATACACAGACAAACAAACACTTTCTTTAGCTTTTGCTGTGAAGCAAATATTGCTTTCTGTTCACTTTTTTATTCTGTCTGACACTGTATTTTTTACTTAGGACACAGCAATAAGCCCCAAGTTTGACTGAATGTAATGTCATCCTGATTATCGAAGGTTGGGGGCATCCTGCAAGAGTGATACATAAAATAATGTGATATAAAAACAATCATAGAATATAAGACCTTAAAAAAGGAAAGAATATGGGGAAGTCAGTGTCCTCTTCGCTTAAAAATATTTGGCATATAGATTAATTCAGAACAACACTTTTAATACAAAGTAGGATTTAAAAAAATGCCTTACAGTAATAGGTTGAACCATATGAAGTTTGCTGTTTTTGACCTGCAATTAAGACAATTTCATTGGAGTCAATCTATATACATACTGTTTGGTTAACAGGTTAACTGTGTTTATCAGAGGAATTGGGTGAAATCAAGGGAGAGAGGGGAAACACATTTTACTTCACACACATTTGAATTATTATAATTTTTTTACAGGGGATATGAGGGGAATATAGTCATTTATGACTCGGTTTCATAACAAGACAATCACAACTAGCTTTTTACAAATTGACTAGATTTGAAGAAAATAGACATTTCTAATTGACATTATCTACAAGGCAAGTTTATTGTCATTACTGTGATAGCAGACAGGACATACCCACTGTCGTAGAGGGTACCTCTTGCTTTAGCTCTTTTGGGTGGTTTTATTCCTGAGAATTGTTGGGAGTTAATGGGGTCCTGTTTCAGGTGGCAATGTCTGGTCAAGGGCAGTTGCCAGCTAGGAGCCAAGGTCACTTCAGTACATGCTTAGGAATCGGTCTCTTTTTATCTTCCTGAGGAGACTGGATTCACATAGTGTACATGTATGTAGCTACATTCTGACAACACTCAACTCCCTTCTCACATGCATATTCTTTTTCTTTCTATTTTTTTTCCTATTTTTTTTTTCAAGTTCTTGCAAATTCATGTTTTTTCATGGACAGGGCAAAATATATTTTTAGTTTGCAATCATAGCAACCATAGAAATAAATTAAGTGTAAAGGTATATATTTTATTATTATAAACTTAGATTCAATACATATTTAAAAATAATATTTAAAAATAAATAAATCAGGGGTTGAGGTCTTTGATGTAAGTATTCCCTGCAAGTATTTTAGCTATAAAGAAACATTTCTGTATTTTGATTTGAGGCTCTACTATGTTGTCATTCTAACTCTGGATTATAAATTTTATAAAAGTATAATAATAAATTCTTTAAGGAAGACAGTAGGCATCATTATGTAATAAGGCAGATGTCCTTATATGGTATCACTTTTTCAGGACAATTGAATGAGACATATTTATTCCTTTAAGTAAGTAAGTAATGTATAAGCAAACTCCAGGTACAAATTCCTGCAAACTTGCATATAATCAAATAGTCTAATGAGATCTTTGCTGACATTAGGATTAACAAGGGACATTTTAAAGGTCTGGGGGTAGGAAATTGGAACACTGTTAGCAGCTCAAGAGTAAAGATCTATCTCCAAAAGAAAGTCAAATTTTCTAGGCTTTCAGATTACATTCTGAAATGGCTAATTAGAATACATTCTTGTTTAGCCCTGCACTAGAGCAACACCATTATTAATTATGCAAACATTTTTTTTGATGGATAAACGAATTTGAGAATGACTCAGCAAGAGTCTTGAAAATCAAATACTTCTACCTGCTTGAACCTGTTCTTTTCAAATGTGCTCCCCTTCTCTGTGAGCTGGGGGTTAAAAATTTGAGGTCTACACATGGGAGGCTTCATCACTGGCATGGCATCCGAGGAAGCCCATTTGGCCAACCAGTTCTACTTAGTCCTGTCATCCTTTTACTTTTAGTTTAAATTGGAAATTGCTGATACTTCTTCAAGGTTAGCCTCTAATTTTTCTTTAACAAACATAAAACCTGGTCAAATCCCATAACCAAAGACTGGGTCTACCTGTCAAAGGTGTGTGTGTGGGGGGGAGGGGGGGTGGGTAGATGTCTGTGTGTAGTTATCTTCATATTTCCCACTAGATGAATCTGTATGTTGATGGTAACTTGGGAAAAGGGGGGGGATTTAAATGTTAAATAAAGATGTAAAGGCAATAGAAGATTTTTTACAAGTCCCTGATAAAGTGACAGTTCAAGATTTAGTTGGAAAAGGGAAGGGTCTCAATCACCAGTCCTTTGGAAATTTGGGCGTGACGTCGTCTCACCTATTTTGGAAACTACTTGCAGATGTGGGGAAACCTCTGAATTGCTCACAACAGGGGTTTTGCCGAGATTTCCTCTGATTTTTTTTTTCCTACCCAATTTCCCACAACCTGTGTTTGTCTTGCATCTGCTAGGCTGTCATGTGGTTTACCTCGCTGTTCCTGCTGCCAGCTTTTACACACTCTCCTCTGAAATAAAACAACTCAAGCCCAAGGATACTGAGCAACTAATTCTGGGCATGGGCGCCAGAACTGTCATAGAAAATTTGCTTCCCGAGTATTCCTTTCCAACTTCCCTTCCTGCGCCACGTGAGCCAAAGCGCCAGCCCATCAGCAAGGTCTTAGCGTTTCCTGCTGCTGCAATCTGTAACTTGACTTTGGATTTTTTTTTTTAAATTGCAGTTTTGAGGATCGTGGCTCTTAGCGAAAGTTTTTGTTTATGAGACTTTTAAAGGGATCCATTTCTTTACCTAAGTCGCGGAGGCTCTGACAGTTACCCTCTTCTCCTGGGCTGCACTAAGGTTAAACGGCTGCAAAGGAAAGAAACACACTCGCTGTTTATTTGGGGGGAGGGGAAGTAGAGATTTGTAACTAAGTTATCACGATCCCTTGTGTCACCCCCGGTCTGGCACTTAAGACTGATACATACATCATCTATTAATTGCTGTCGCAGACAGAGATACATAATATATTTATTTTTATCTTCAGTAAAATAGAAATGGAATTGTCAGCGCGCTCGCGTCTGTTTGTTTGTAGAAGGCTATCAAAAGGAGTCAGAGAGGAGGCTGTGGCCCGGATCCTGACCCTGATTGTATGAATAAGTAAGCAGGATGCAAGTGATTGGGTTAGATGCTGTGAAGAATTTTTTTTTTTCCAAGTTAGGAAGAGGGTAAAAAGACAGCCTGGGGGGAAAAGGGCAAACAGTGCATCCCCAAATCTTCACACTTTTGCATCTCCTTGCAGTCAGTTGCTTTGCTGGCTTTTGCAGGCTTTTAAGGTCTCGCGGCGTAGACATGCCTGCCCCCCACCCCCTTCCTCGGTCTCCCCTTTCAGTTCAGATGTGCTGATGTGCAGACCGGATTCATCTTCCCGGAGCGGCGGCAGTGGCGGCGGCAGGCGCAGGCGGCAGCGGCTCGCACTCGGCTGCCGGGTCCTGGCTTTGGCGGGGGCGCAGCACGGGAGCCGGAGCTCCGGTGGCAGCTGAACCCGTGGGGCGCCGCTTGCCCAGCCGCAGCCGTGGGAAGTTCGGCCGCCAGAAGGACTACCTGGCAGGCTGCGAGCGCCCGCTCCGCAAGAACCGAGTTTGCCCGCAGCTGCCCCTCCCTGCCTCCGGGAGCGGAGCTTCTTACCTGCCCTCCGCCCACCCGCGGGCCCCTCGCCAACTTCTCTCTGCAACTGGGGGTAACAGGCAGTTCTTGCCCTCTCTACTGTCCCAACGGCACCCGCATGTCTCCGGACACCTGAACACCCTGGTCCCGCCGAGAAGCCTCCCGGTGGGAGAGAGGCACTGGTCCCCCTCGCCCCGCGCATCAACGCATACCGCGGACGCTTCACCTCCCAGTCCAGTCCCCTCCTTTTCCTCCAGGGGAGGAGGATGGGGTTGGAAACGCTTTCCCTGAGGATGCTCGTGTGGCTGGTGGCCTTGTGGATTGTCTTCCACGGGGAGCTGTGGGTTTGCACTGGCCTCGATTATGATTACACTTTTGATGGGAATGAAGAGGATAAAGCAGAGACGATAGATTACAAGGACCCGTGTAAAGCTGGTAAGTGCCTCTCCAGGTTGGGACGGTGGCGCGCCGCGGGGCCGCGGCGCTGGATTGCCGATGGGTGGCGGTGGGAGCTCACCTGTTTCCTTCCCTCTCTTGCCAGCCCCGCCGCCCCTCCTTCTCTTCCCCTCCCTCCTGTCCCCTCCCTACCCCAAGTGGCAGCCGCTGCGGCTGGAGTTGACTGGAGTTCCGTGTTAGTGGCATGGAATGCCAAGCTCCCGTCTCCCAGTTTGGAAGAAAATAAAACGTCCTGGAGTTCTGATTCCTCTCCCCTCCCCCAGCAAAACGAAACAAGCCATAAACACAGCTGGCTGCCGTAGGTTTTAAATACCAGCACTCAGCCGGCTCTATGCCTGGAGGGGACAACACCTCCTCTTTGTTCCAGGGAGCGGTTCCCCAGTGCTCGCCTGAGCCCGAGTGGGCAGAGTTCCCTGAAAGGTGGGTGGGGATGGAAATTGCTACCTCGGGACACCTTTGCTCCCTCTTTCGCCAGGGATTTCAAGTGTGGGTTCCAGGAGAGAAGGGGATTGTGATGACCTTGGAAGCTCTCACGCTAGATGCAATTCAAATGCATGTGCTCATTTAAACTGAACCTTAAAAAGAAAACCAAGTTGATACCCCTTTCAAACTTATGTCTTCCTTCTTCCGTACACTCCTGGGAACTGCAGTTAGACTGGCACTGTCTGAAACTCAGCTTCTCCTCGCCTGGTCCTGGAGCACCCTGGGACCTTCCACTCCCCTCGGCTACTCCCGTGCCTCTGCGGGTCTCCACTCCCGGGAGGAGTGGTGCTTCCCTCTCACCATCGCAGGTCTGAGGCGCACGTGCCACGGCCGGTGACCACGTGGGCGCTGGCGCCCCAGGGTGCCAGCGCCCACCACCTGTCCGGTGGGACCCTGGGGGCTCCTGGACCCTTGCTCTCCTGAATTGAGGTTGAGGTGACCTGGATTCAGTGCGGACTCACGACTGACTTCAGAAGCAAGGTTACAGGGGTTGTTGGGGCCAACTTGACAGAATCGTTTGTAAGCTGAAGGCACATTCTGTCCCATCTCTAGAGATGTGGGCCATGGCAAAGCAAAGAGGAGGGGAGTGGGTCAAGTATCAAAGGTATCTATCTATGCCTCTCCAGAGTGTGTGAGGGGTTGGTCGGCCTGGGCCTGCGATCTCTTCCCTTCCACAGCTAGATAAACCTCATTCGTCCTCTCTTGGGCCTGAAGGAAAGGAGCAATGTACACAAATGAAGGAACATGCTGGAAATTCCCCTGTTAATTTGTCCCTTTGATGACACATTGTTCTGACAAGGAGGGTATGTGTGTTGCGTTCCTGTTATCAGACCTTTCTTTGTGCAGACACTTAACACTCAGAGTAGCTTAGCAGAAACTTGTCCATCTGGAACTCAGAATTCTGATTTAATTCTATTTAGGTTATAATTTTCTCCTGTCATCTTTAACATTTAATTTATCCAACCAAAAGTTTCTTGGGACTTCCCTGATGGTTTGGAGGACACCACACATTTTGCTATGGTGTGACTAGTGGCCGGGCAAGCAGAATTCAGTACTATGCAACTCTCTAAGCATGTTATTTATTGAGAAATTAGTTTTGAATAGTGTTTACAACTGGGTGAAAATTGTTCACGTTCTTGTTTCAGGTAAGGTAAAAATGAAGTAAGTTATTTCTGAAGATTGTCTAGGAAAACATCTGTTCTGATGCTCTGTTGTGTGAAAGATTAAACCAGCTATCAACCCTGAGAACCAGGGCATATATAGGTATACATTGGTCCAATTTCAGGAAAAAAAATGTAGTTTCCTTCGTAAATTAAAATAAAAGTGTCTGTCTTTTAAAAATATTAACTTCAAATATGAATATATTATAAGTATCAAAAAATAGCTAATACAGTTTTAGAAGTTGTTTCATGTGTATCTTATGTTAGTAATTGTCCAGAGAAGGTACTGTGAATATAAGTGTTTTTTTTCTTTTTATAAATGTTTTCAATTTTAAAGTTTCAGTAGTTTGCACCTTGCTATTGAAACACCTCAAGCACAAATGTTTATTTTCCTCAGTAAATAAATATCTAGGGCAGGAAAAAACAATCTTTAATAGCATTTACTTTTGTTTTCTGTTTAATACTGGTTATTTTTTAACATAGCCGTTGAAGTTAAAGCAAGAACCAACTTTGAATGGGTTATTACTCTAACCTTATTTCTTCCCTGTCTTTGAGTACAAGAGGCATACTTTGTGTGTGTGTGTGTGTGTGTGTGTGTGTGTGTGTGTGTGTGTATGTGTATGCACTAGCAAAAGTATAATAAGAATGGCCTAAGTGGAAGGCTGAAAAGAAGTTTACCCAAAATCAGAGAACACTTTAAAATTAACCCTGCTTTTTAATTTAGTGAAATGAAAGGCTTCAATTTGCCATCTTGGCCAAAGAGTGGCAAAATCTTAATGCCTCCCTTTTGGCACTGTATAAGACAGAAGTTATAATAACAGGAAGAAAAAAAAATTTAAATGGTACATTGAAATCCCAAACAAGAGTCGAAAAAAGGTCACTAAAATAAGAAAGATGAGGACAGATATGTGAAAGATGGCTATGCAAAGGTAAGAGAAGCTGCTTACCAAACTCGGGGGCACCTTTCCACAGAGCAGAATGGAGGGCATGGCCCTGGAAAAAAGTGCCCTTTGTGAACTTCTCTCGCAGGGGTCCTAAACTACACAGTAGCTCGCTGCCATAATGACTGACATAGCTTTATGGTGCCAGAGCACTTTTGAGTACATTAAGTCAGCTCAGTTATGGAGGAATTTGTTAACATCCCCATTACACAGATAGGAAAACTGATTCTTAGTGAAGTTAAAAGTGTTTGTTAAGATTACTCAGAACTTGATTCCAAGTTTCCTAGCTGCAAAGTCCAGCTATGTTAACGTTGTGGACCAGTGATGCAGATTTGTGTCTATATATTTAAATGCCCCATCCTCAATGTGTTAAATGATTATGCTGTGGTCTTAGCTGGGCTTTTGTAGGCTCCTTGAAATGCAAACAATAGAAATTTATCCAGGTTTACTCAGTCTGGACTAATAGAAATGTAGTTACTTTCATATCTGATATGAGTGGAATGACTAATAAAGTAGTTTCATCTTTTCCAAACCCAATTAGAATATAAAGTCCTTGAGGACAAAGGTGATACCTGTTTTTTAATGTTTATCACAAGATTGATTACCCCTGTTAGGTATCTAGTATGGTTTCAATACCTTCTCAGTATCTATAGATTATTGATAATGATCTTTATCCTTTATCTGCAAACTTCTGCTCTAACCAAGATCAAATGTTACCACAGAAAGAATATTCATAATGCTACTTTGTTAAGCACTGTGCCATCCTTAATATACTTGTGAAACAATATTATTTATATACCCATCACAACTCTGCTTTCAGGTTCATGAAACTGTAGATCAAAAAGGGAGCCTTATATTAATATAATTGAACTTTGATTTAGAAAGATATTTTTTGGTGTAAGTGAAAGTAGGCAGTTAATACAGCATGGCATCAGATACATGTATATAGCCAAGTCCTTTAGGATAGAATATAGGTAATTAATCTCTATATACATAGGTAGACACAAAGATGCAGATAAATTCACAGGAATGTCTGACTGACTGTCTTTCCTGAGTGCAGTACGTGGTCATCTGAATTTGCAATCAGGTTTCTCTTCCTCCCTCTAGTTCAGGAGGGTCCTGAGGGATGTTGAGAAGCTGATGCCGCAGGAAGTCATTCCAGAATAGAGACCGAGGTGTCCTGTTTCATTGTTGAACTGTTCCAGTAGGTGTTAATCTGAGTAGTAATATCTGTGAAGAGCCTGGGCAAATTCAGTGTGTAAATTAATCTCTCAGATGTGTCTAGAGATTACCTGGAAAAGCAGAGACCTGAGAACCCAACTCGGTATTCACAACTCCCTCCTTCTCTTCCTCCCCACCTCTGTCCCTCCTACCTCCATCTTTTGACTCCTTTCTTCCTTCTTCCCTCCTTTTGTATTAAGGGGATATCAGGAAAGCTCAAGGACTTGAAAAAATAAGTAATAAAGGTGATCGAAGAAATTAGTATTTTGAATGATGGGTAGAGACTGATAAGACGGAGGTAAAATATTTGTTCAGAAGGGTAACCTTATCCTCTTAGACAAGTGTAAGCATCCTGAAAAAAAAAAAAAAGACTTTCTACCACTTTCTGAGTCAATGAGTCCTTTTCTTGGAAATAATCCAAGCATGATTAAAGGTCAGTGACTTGCAAGGTGAAATTTGCCTTTAGAGTAGCACACGCAAGCCTGTTTATATAGAAATAGGTTTTTGGCATCCTGAAGGATTCTTTTTTCTGCTTTGCTTTATAACCGGTGTCCTAGTGCCCTGGTATACTAATTCTTTGGGATAATTTCTACAAGTTTATCATTTCTCTATAAGGTGTTCTCATTCTTGCAGCCCTCAATGCTGTACTTTCTAGCCTCATTGTCAGTCTCCTAGGTAAGGCATTTTAGAATTTGATGTTTAACCCCGTGTCTACTTGATTCCATCATAATATTTAATATCCAAACATATATTTTTGTCAGTCGGCACCTCTCTAGGTTACCAAGCCCTCATGTCAAAAATGCATTTCATAGAGCCGCTTCTCTTAGTCTCCTCTGTTTTAGTTTTCATTCCTCAGATTAAAAAAATTTTTTCTCCTTCTTCCTCTGGGGCCAACAGAGAAGTAGCCAAAATATAGTTTTTGCAATAGGGATGGATAAGGCATTCTATTCTGTATACTCGAATTCTCTTCTTCATTTGCTAATGGTTACTTTTTAGCCTTTGTCATGAGGGCTTACATTCAGTTTGGGCCCACAAATGGCAGTTACTATTATCAGGTATGAATAAGATACATTATTTTTTCTTAAATATATTCCCTCAGACTAATAATTCCGTGAATTATTACATGAACTATCTTAGAGAAGAGATTCCAGTTAAGGGATTTCCCACCTTTTCT